CACGTGACTCCCCTCGTTGGCTTCTGCCGAGGACAAATGGACCTTGAAGAATCGCAGTGGGTTCCTGTGTACCAGGTGGTGATTTTAATTTCTGCCTCAATGGAGTCTTCATTCCTGGAAACTCACCCCACCCCCCGCCCCCAAACCCGGACATCTCCTGGTGTCTAGCTCTTCATCTGGTGAAAACGGACTCTCTCTGGGTCTATCTCTAACGGCTACAAGGTCAGTCTGCTTCTGTGTGTCAGGGCCAACAACACACTCAACTGCCCTCCCTTAGGAGAGAAGAACTCTCCGGAGCCCTAACCTAGGCTGCAGGGACCAGGATCACCCCTCCATTGGGCAGGACACCCCACAGGTCCATTATGTGCCACATGGATTGGACCTGCAGAAACAGAAAGTTAGCAACCCCTCTAGGCATTGTAAGACCGATGCATGCCAGAGTGGGGGGAAGGGATCTGCCCATATCTCCGGCCTTGCTGTCCAGATGAAATTACTAGGAGTCCAGTTCCCTGGGGCATGGTGAGATAGCCCATCCATGGTGAGGACTCAGCTCCATCAGACCCTCTTGTGAATGAGGAGCAACCCCAATTCCTGGTGGACCTTTGTTGGACGTTGGAGACAACATATTCCTCCTTGGGCATGTCACCTCCACCCATGCATGAGAGTCTTGAGAGGCTGCTGGTTTTGGGTGGGGCCCCGAACAAGAGACAGCTTTGCAACAGGTCCAGGCTGCCAGGGCTGTGTGACCCAGGAGATCCAATTGTGTTCGGAACTTATGGCAGATGAGGTCATTATACAGAGTCTTGGGGCTACTACAGATAAATGAAAATACAGACATTTAGCCCAGGCCAGTTTGGCTCAGTGGATAGAGCATCAGCCTGTGGACCAAAGGGACCCGAGTTCAATGGTGGTCAAGGGCACCTACCTTAGTTGCAGGCTCTTCCTGGGCCCAGGGGCTTGTAATGGGGTGACCCGCGGAGATGACCACCAGGCACTCAGATCAAAATTTAGGAGCCTTTATTAAGCTGGACAGCGACTACAGTTACAGCACCCTGCCAAAGCAGAGGCTGAACTGTAGTCCTGACTGCAAGAGTTACAGTGTTTTTATTTGCAAAAACCACAAAGTTACAAAACCTTAGTTCCCAACACAGTACAGCATCATTACAGTGACTACCTTCCTATCTATGTGTTCTAGGAACAGAGAGTACAGGGTGCCAGGAAGGGGCCATGAGACCATATCTCAAGGCCTGGCCTGATGTCAGTACCTTCCTATCTGTTTGTTTTAGAAACAGACAGCACAGCATGACCCATCTGGCCGAAGCACCAGATATGAAACCCAGCACAGGCTCATGCAGGAGGCAACCAATCAATGTGCTTCTCTCACATCAATATTTCTTTCGACCTTTCCCTCTCTGATCCACTCTCCCTTAAAAAAAATCAATGGAAAAATATCCTTAGGTGAGGATTTAAAAAAAATCAATCAATCAATCAATAATAAAGCACAAATATTTACTATTTTGGAGTCACACTATGCATTTCCATGGAGGACTATTCTCCTTTGTGAAACGATGTTGGGTTTGTTACTGGGCTCTACCAGAGGTCGTCTTGGCCAAGTCACTATGAGGCATGAGATGCCCATCATGTAATGGGGCATGATACCTGAGCACACCTTGAATGGAGCATGCCCAGCAGCACCCCATCCCCAGACAGAAGTGGTTTATGTGGTTCAAGAAGTCCCCAAAGGCATGAGGCAGGCAGAGCAGGGACCTTCTAAAGATATGTACCTTCTACTCCTCAGCACCCGTGCCTATGTCACCCCCCATGGCACAAGGGACTTTGCAGGTGTGATGGAGTTAAGGATTTTGAGATGGGAGATGGCCCTTGGTGATCCAGGTAGGCTCCATGTCATTAGAAAATCCTGGGGATTGAATGAAGGAGGCAGGAGGACAGAGCCAAAGAGATGTGACGAAGAGAGCGTGGACAGTGATTAACTGCTGGCCCTGAAGATGAATGGGCATGAGATATGGGCAGCCTGTGAAGCTTGAGAGACAAGGAATCCCATTCTGACTCCTGAATGGAAAGATGATAAATCTGTGTTGCTTTAACCCATTAAGCATATGGGTATTTGTTATAGCAGCAACAGGACACGAATTCTTTCTCTCTCTCTCTCTCTCTCTCTCTCTCTCTCTCTCTCTCTCTATTTTTTTCTCTCTCTCTCTCTCATTTTTGGAAGTGGTGATGCAGCTTTGG